TCACAATGCAACAGTTTTTGGGTTAGCATCTTTTTCAGCTGTCTCTGTTTCTGTAGGTCACAGGTTGCCAAATTTTCCCCTCAGAAAGGGACATACTTAAATATTTTAAGCCTTATAAAGAAACAAAATGGATTATACGATGGCATCATTTTTCCCAAGAGACTTTTGTGTTTCCTTTTTGTCACCCATGTGTTGATTACTCAGTGGTGCATTTTTTTTCATAGTGCTGTAACTTGTTGTTGTGGCTTTTGTTCTAATTCATACCAGTTGTTGACCTTGTTTCATGGCTTCCCACTTATGGAAATGTATAGTTGGGCCCGGCGAGGTGGCGCAGTGGTTAAGGAAATGTATAGTGATGGAGTACTGGGGTCTATCATATACATATATGGGGGTATAATGGAACATGCATCCCTGCTTCCAGATGAAAGATGGATTCCCAATGAAACTGTTGGACATATGTAGACAATGGGATGCTAGACTGTCTGACATTGTCTGTACCAAGAATATCGGGGTACACTTAAATAAGAGACTGATAGAATTATGATTCCTAGTGAAGGACTACACTATTGTAACAAAATGGGAAAAATCTGATGGGGGTGGGAGTTTGGGGGGGGAATCCCAGCCTATACGAAATTGTACTACATAATTCAAAATTCAAAATAAAAACATATTAAGAAAAACAAACAAAATGGAAGATACATGTTAGTATCCCAGGTTTATTTTTTCTACATACTTCCAAGGATGCATGGGTGAAACACAAGAATGACATTTTTGCCTTGTGGTTTTAGTGCACCAAGCACACAGTATCAATTTAATTCTCCATTGGGATGGAATATGTTGGTGTGTTCAACTCAATGAATGTTGAAAAGGTTTCCTTGTAAAGTTCTTTCCATTTTATTTGAAAGTGAGATGTATGTGTGTTTGAGAAAGAGAGAGAGAGAGAAAGAGAGAGAGAGAGAGAGAGAGAATATGAATCTTTCAATCTTCCATCCACTGGTTCACATCCCAAATTCCTACAAAAATAAGGGCTGCTCCAGATAGGAGCCAGAGCCCAGAAATCTCCCCTGAAACTTATAGAATTTAACAAACAGGCTTTTCATTATCTTTATTCCAGATGTACAATCTGGTTATACAGCATACTGAATTGAACAGAAATCTTGACACTAAGTTTTTACCTTCAACTGTATAAAAGATGTCCTTCAGTTAAAAGTTTAAACATGTCCCTTGGGCTCTGGAGGGGCAAGATACCTTTTCCTAAACCTGAGAGTAGCCTGTAGTTTCCCTATGTGACAAAACAGTCTCTAAAGTGAGTTAAATTGCATTGGATTCTTGGGGACGAACTTGAAAGTGCTGAACTATTAAATACAGTGAAAACTGTGGAGATGTTTAGTGATAAACTACAGGGCATCAGCTACTTTTAAGCATTGCCGCTCACCAAAGAGATTCATTCAAGAACGAAGCAAAATGGAAAATACATTCTCCTCCTGTTTATTTTTCCCAGTGGTTTAAAAAAAATCAGCTTTATGGAACCATAATCTTCCTCGTGACAGATGGCCCTGTACAGTAACATCGTGCTTTCACTCAACAGTTTACATTTCAAGAGGAAGGTGCGAAAACTTAATGTAAAGACGTCTTCAGCATCTATTTGCCATTTTTTAATTTTATAACATTGATACAAAAAATAGTATTCTGATTAGCAGCTTGATTGGCAACCCATGTAACCCTAAACAGCACTACAAACCTGCAGAGTGCACATTTACAGACAATTACTTTTGGTGAAACCATATGTACAGTTTTCACAAATAAATACATAAATACAGTCATTCATATATAACGATATAGTTAAATGTCAATTATCATGGACAGGCGTTTCTAGTAAGTCCCTTCTTTCATTCATTCACAAAGGTACTTTGATGTTTAAAATAACAATCTTCCCCTTTACGGAGGAAATGACATCATCAGCACTCCCACTAAACGCACATACTAGGAAAGGTAGAAAATGAATCCCAGATGCTTTCGGTAACTATTTTGTCGTCTTTTGAGATTTGGTTGAAAACTCCTTCCTTGACGTCTGTAAAGTTATTTTTCTCCACATTGGATCACACAAATGGGTTTTGTTCTTCTGAATTTAATCCAAATCAGAATGATCTTCATTTTTTATTCTGTTTTTTAAAAAGTATGATATTATATATTAAAACTAACATTTGCTTCAACATTAGAAAGTATAAAGCCACATACAAACTTGCCACCAAAAGTAAGCCTTCCTCCACACACATAAAAGAAAGTAATTTTAAGAAGCTAGACACTGATTGTTGGCTCCTGTTATCGTCCAGTACAGGCTGGACAAATAGGACAGTCAGAGACTTTTTGTAAAGACTGAATGGCTTTGTGTGGAATACTGTCTGCAACATTTTATGTTGGGGAACTGGAAGAATGGCCTAACAAATAATTGAAACAATAATTTGGCCAGTGTCATGTCATAAATTTAAAAGTAGAAAACTAGAGATTTTCTTTCAAATCACTGAAACATTTTTTTTGTACATTCAAGAGATGATGAGCTAACATGCTTAAGGCTATTGAAACGCTGGACAAATGGCCTTATCTCACCAAGCTCCATGCAGAAGAAAATGTTACATAGCAGGCAGATTCTAGCTATACGTACATTTGGAGAAAAAAAATCACCTTTAAAATATATACATGTGATTTTGGATGAGTATTTACATGTTTGTCGCATGGGCACTATTTAGCATAAAAAAGTTAGGAAATTGTTCTTAAGACATGAGATTCTTCAATTTTTGCTGCTTTTAAAGATCAGGGCTCTATTCAGAACGTTTACACATATGTAAAGTGATTTATTAATGTATAAGTATGATTGTACAGCGTGCAATTCCTTGACAGCAGAGGGTGGTTGAGCATGGAGTAGATGCAAAGCTCATGAGACCAAGGAGTGATTCAGCAGCAGGACTGCAAGCTGAACCAACATGAAGCCTTGAGACTGTCTCAGTAATTGGAACTCATAGCAGTGGGGGCCATGGAGTTAAAAGGGAGCTCACTTTTGCCAGTCTATCACCCCCTATTCTACTCAATGCTGTTTTCTAACCAGAATCAGTAGTCCTGTTGACCATAGTAGGAAGATACATTAAGGGATGGGAGATCTTATTTTTTATTGGGGCTTCTAGGGTTGGGGATGAGAAATCCAGGGTTTTCAAGATCAGCCATGGTTACCACTTATTCAAATTTTGAAACATGTTTCTGTTCAACTTCTGTGGGAACTATTGGGTGGGATTAAATCTACATATTAAATGCAAGATTTCCTCTTTGAGCTATCCAGTTTTCTTTGAAACAAGCATGAGTTTTCTTATGAGTGGTAGAAGTGCAGTGGATGGGCTTGGTGAGTGCCTATACAGATGGATTAGCTCCTCAAAGTTCTGAACAGGATTCAGATCAAATACTTCCTGAGGTCTAAGCTGTGATGCATTTTGAGAAGCATGTGCTTCCCCTACTATAATCCACCAACAGCCCAGGCTCCTCCCTAAAAGAAAGGCATCTGCCTGTGTGGTCAGCACCTTGGGATAGCAAGGCAAAACACAGAGGTGATAACTTATTCACTGAAACCAGAAGAAATGGCAGAGAAACTAAAGATTCCTAATACCAAGCTCATAGCCAAGGAAAAGTCTATTTTGGAAGAATCAGGTGCATGGATAGTTGATCTTTATTTTGGCAAATTTTATAGTAAGATGGTGTAACTACTTCTGATGACCACGGTTCTAATTATGTCATTATTTTAGCATTTAGCACAATGCATGTTACATTGCATTACATAGCACCTTTTAAACTAAGAATCTTAAAATACTTAGCAAATGAAATTTGCTCTCACAGACTTGTGAGGTAGGTGTATCTTTATTTTTATTTTTTTACAGCCACTGTATAAATGAGCATATTGAAGCACAGCTAGGTTAAAACGCCTGCTCACATGGTCCAATATGTATGGTGGCATCAACAGAGAGGGAAACTCAGGGTTTCCCCTCCTTTGCCGTGAATCTTAGTCACAGAGCCTCCAAATGATACCGCACAACAACATTGTTCCTACAGTCCTCCCATGTTAAAGTGCATTAAATCTATTTAACAACAGTGTCAGAGTTTTCAACAATACACGAAACACTTTTCTCACCTGATTTGCATATGTGTGGAAAGGGCCTCTTACACCATTGCTAACTTTATGTTCATTACAATGTATATCAAAATTTGCATTTTATCCCAAAGTGTTTGATTGTGTCTTTGACTTTCTAACAACTTCTTTCCTACACGTGGAGACATGTGTCTGTCTGATCCAGAAACTGTGAACTACACTTAGCACTATCACATGGAAGGAAGCAGGTGAGATTCCATTTGGCAAAGGCTCCTTGGAGGCACCATGTAATGTTTGTTTTGAAAGAACAAAGTACAAATTCTTCCGTTTACTTTGTTAAGTAGCATTTTATATACATTCCACCTGCTGATCAGGTTTAATCCTTGGATGAGCAAGTAGAGCTTTCTTCCAAACATATAAAACATTTGATTCTTAAGTTTAGATTCCCATCTATTTAACTAGAGCTTCCCTGCCAGTATATTGAACATATCACATGGCAATATATGCAACAGTAACACACAATATTAACAGTCACAACCGGTGCGCCTTCCTGACTGTGCCTCATTTCTGAACTGTTTTAAGTTATTTCCTTATGAATCTTTGCAGAGATGATATGAAGACAAAGTGTGAGTTTTAGTTTCACAGAGCCAGATTTTTATCTCAGACGCACAGCACATAAATCCTACCCGTTGTTTGGAAGTCACTTTTTGAGCTACACGGCAATGTCTTAGGACCTGAGAGTTAAATCTGGACCTTGTCACTTACACATTGTTTCTGTATCAGAGCCTTCCACTTGTAAATTGGCGATCCAAGAAAGAAATTAGAAGCAGGAAGCAAAAACTTTACAAAACCCCTTCACCAGTGGCACCTATAAAATACCAACACCTTAGGCCCCGTTTCTTAGAAAAGAAATGAAAAATATTTACATGGGTAAAAATCCTAACATCTGAGATGTTTCTTGCTTGACATGTCATTCCAAATTCTGTGCATTTCTTCGGGCGAGATCTGATGCACAGTGATCACACGGCGATACCTACACAAACTGTAGGCCATTTTCCAGTGATTGAAGCCACTGTTCTGGAAGGGATGTATGCCCAGCTTCCGGAGACACAGTCCCACATACACATCTTCAAGATGAAGCAACCTTGTGTGGAGTGAGGTCTTGTAAATGAGTTCAGCCACATCGGCTGAAAAGATGTAGCCAGTCCCCGAACAGAAGGGCGGGTAGTTGCTGTCAGGGTACAAATCTCTGGGCATGTACCACTTACTGCGGACATCCCGGATGGGCCCTCCGTTGATTACGTAGCCAGTAAAATACCTTCTTCGGGGCTTGGTGGAGGGTTTGAGCAGTTTATAAATAAGATTGTCCATATTTACAAAAATGTCACTGTCTGTTTTCATGACATACTTGGCTTTTGAACAAAATGTGGCCACCCATCTCATGCCCATTAATGTTTTGAGGGTGAGGTTGTGGTAGGAGTCGATGAAGTCCTCCACAATGATGTCGTGGAAGATTTGGCTCTCCTGCTCCACCATTTGATTTAGAACAGGATCAGCATTCTTGCCCAAGAGGAACAGAGTAGCTATCTTGATCCCTTTAAAATTGTTCTCATCCCCCCACGTCTCTCGGATTGCTTGGCGGGCGTCAAATTCCTTGTGGGTGGTGCTGATGAGGATAACAAGGAAAGGAATGTTTTTCTCACATTTATTTGGCTCATTTATAAGGAAGTCAAAAGAATGAGGGTTGATGGGTCGAGTTCTTATGTTGCCAAAGGTGAAGTTTTTCCTGGCAACTGTGAGGTGGCTGAACGGCTTGGAGCCAGTGTAGGAAGAAGTAGGACGAGTGACACTCAAGTACCAGAGCGCGCTGGCCCAGCACACGACTGTCAAGACGTATAAACAGGAGACTTTCGAAGCCATTTTCTTGCATTCACGTTTATCCCGAATGTGGAAGAACACACCTTCTTGGCTCTAGATTCTTTTCCCCCTGCAGGGACAGCATGTTACTAATGAATCTTAAAGTTCAACAGGGAAGCGTGAGGTGGGGATTGTTCATGGGCCTTTGTGGCCTTCTGGCATCTCTGCATTCATTCGATTCTCATCCTAACCTGATAGAAGATTCCAGGATGCATAAATCTTCCTCTTAACTCTGCAAAATCAAAAAGTACAGTTGTCATTCAGATTCACTTATCCATTTTGCATTTTCAAATAAATGCAATCAGCTTTTAAGAATTAACCCACAATAACTGAAATAAATGTGACTATTTGTTTCTATCAGTACTGAAAGCTTACAGACACAATCACTCTTGCTTTTCCTTTTTATTTAATAGAAATTGCTTCTGTGGGCCCAGCAGCTCAATCCTTGCCTTGCACATGCCTGGGTCTGATATGTGCATTGATTCATGCCCCAGCTGCTCCACTTTCCATCCAGCTCCTTGCTTGTGGTCTGGGAAAGCTGTGAACAATGGCCCAAAGCCTTCAGACCCTGCACCCATGTGGGAGACTGGGAAGAGGCTCCTGCCTTTGGAGTGGCTCTGCTCTGGCTGCTGCAGTCAACTGAGAAGTGAACTATTGGATGGAAGATCTCTCTCTCTGTAAATCTGAGTTTCCAATAAAAATAAATAATTCTTAAAAAAATAAATCAAGTAAAGTCATACTCAGATAAAAATACAGAAATATGGAATAAACTGAATATTTGTAATGTACATGAAAATCTTCAACTGATACATAAAGCTTATACATATTTATGGGATATCCTGTTATGCTTCAGAACATGTGCACAATGTCCAATCAGGGCAAATAGTTATTTTATAGCTATATTTTTAAGGATGGATAACATCTCTTTCTATATGTGTGATACACAGCAAACACAGATATAAAAAGAATAAAATTCTTTCATTTATAGCAAAATGGTTGAAACTGTAGCAATTGTGTTAGTGAATCAAGCCAGACACAGAAAGACAAACCCTGCATTTTGTTTTCCTTGTATGTGGGAGCTAACATAAAGAAAGAAACATCTGAGTGTGTGAGGGCCTTTCTGTTTTTAGAATAATAGACACAATGCATTATCATTGTGAAGTCACCTGTAGTGCAAACAAATAACTGAATTCGTTTCTCCCATAACTATAACTTAGAATCTGTTAATTAACATGTCCTCAGTCTCGCTCTGCTGGACATAAATAATGTTAAAAACAGTTTTCTCTTTTTACAAGAGGCCTTCTCTGTAAAGACTTTCTGTCACCATGGTCTGCTTTCACGTGAGAGTTTCATACATGTCTCATATCTTTTCCATTATCCAAAGTCTGGATCTTTGTTGGCTTGATTCTGGGTGAGAAATCTACTCTCAACATCTTTGCTTTCTGAGTAATTTGAAAGATGTGTCAGTCATCACTGGAAAATCTCTACCAACACTTTGTCTCTTTGCATTCAGACTTAGGAGTAGTTCCCAACGTTTCCCCATTTTTGTCTTTATTTTGGCTCCCTCAAAGTCTAAGTTCCTAATTCTCAGTTTTCTATGAAGCTTCAAATGAAAAATATTATCATCCTTTAGGCATGGAAACCAGTAAACAAGTGTCCTCAGAGATAGCTGGCAACATTCACTCTGGGCTTGATTTTGTTTTTTTCTGCGTGGTTTTCAACAATTTATCCATATGCTACCTTGATGAAATTATACTATCCACCTTTAATTATTTTAATTGGCTTCCCTTGTCTGTAAACAGCATGCATATAATTACAGACAATTGAGCTTGGGGGCAGGGGACACAAATTCAATGAAGAAATGACAGAAAATTTTAATTGGTCTTCAAATTAAGAATTTGTCCTTTGAAAACTCTAATACTTTCTGAAACTTTAATGCTTTCTAGACTATTTAACTGTACGTATAAAGTCAGAATCATATACTGGGTTACAAAGGCCACTCATGTAAAAAAAAAAAAAGATTTATTTCCTGCTAGTTTGAGCAGAATGCAGTACAGAAGGGCAGAGATAGCTGATAATAGTATCATTTTAACAAAGTTGGCTTCAAATAAAAATGTATCTGCCTAAATATGTGGTCCTCTTAGAAAGAATTGAACTGGGATTATAGCTGGAAAACCATACCTCTTAGCTCTAGAGTCATAAGGCAGTAAGAAGACAAGAGAGTCAATGGCACAGACAGTACACCAACTCCTATCCAAATTAATTATTACCCATGAATATGCGATCCATGTGAGGCCAACACATGTGGGGTTAGGGTTCTAACTGAACGAATGTCAGGATAGCTTCAAGCAGCATGATTCTAAACATAGGCTCTCATGTCCTGGGCTCCCTGGAAGACATTTCTAGCATAAAGTGTACCTGATAAAAAGAAGGAGGAGTCCAGGTAAGTCTGCTCAGTGGTGTGAATGTTTGAATCTCCTAGCCATGTGGCTGTGGCTGGGCCAGGCTTCCTGCTCCAGCTCCTAGCTCCCCATCCAGCGCTGCCAAGCAGTGGGTGAAGCCTGAACTTGCGGACGGCTAGAGTGACAACAGAGCTGGGCTATGCCCGCTGGCCATTCTCCAGCAAGTTCTGGGGTTTTGGGAGTAGGGCTAGCCCATGAACCCACCAGTGTGTGTACCTAGCATTGGGAACGGTTCTGATGGAGGAGTTTAGGAAACTCCTTTGTTGGGACACAGTCCCTGCAGCTGAATGAAAGAATCACGATAAGGAGCAATCCAGACCAGGCCAGGGAATCATACCCACCAACATACATTTGCACAGGTCGGGGGTGAATCAAGCTGGGCCAGATCATATCTCCTACTGACAAATCTGAGCACCAGAATGGAATGTGGGTTAGGTCAGATCAGGCCGCAACACAACCCAGTTCTTATGAGGGACAGGACCAGGGGACAGCTGGGCTGGGCTAGGCTGTAGCTCCCACCAGTGTCAGTTGGACTAAGGGGTGGGCTGGGCTAGGCCAACTATAGCACTCACTGGCAAATGCCGAGGTGAAGCTGGCCATGCTAGACTGGGCCATGGCATCTAACCAACACACATGAGACCCAGCGTTGAGGGGGTGAACCCGACAGGGGAGCTGCGTGGGTCTCCCCTGCTAGACTACCACTCCCACTGGAGAGTGTGATTTGGGATGGGGGCAGACCAAGCTAAGTATGGCTACAACACCTGCTATTCTCATGTGGGTTGCATCAGGGAAGTCAGACCGAGTTAACTGTTCCTACTGGAACATGTGTAAGTCAGAGTGAGGGTGGGTTGGTTAGATTTTGCCACAGCATCCGCTGGCAGAGCTTGGCACGGGGGACAAATTCTGTCAAGCTAAACTGTAGAGCCACCTACAGAGTGCAAGATCCAGGAGTGGGAGTGGACCAGTAGGGAAACAGTGGGCACCTCCCTCTTGGGTTGTCACTCTGACTAGTAAGCATGAGAACAAGGACTGGGGCAGGCATGGCCAGACAGAGAGTGGCACCTGCCTGCAGGTGTGTGGGACAGACAGGACCAGTCTGCTGTATATACTGGCAAGCATGGGAACCAGGGTAGGTGGCAGGCCTGGTGGGGGCTATTGTGGGTCACTTTGAGTAGGCTGCAGCTCCCACTAGTGACCATGAAGGCCGAGTGTGTGGTGGGCAGGATCGGAATGGGCTGCAACACCCATTGGTTTCTGTAAAAGACAGGGCTGGAGACAGAACTGACCCAGCAATTGCAACGACCAGCATGTGCACAAGCTGATGGGGGCAATGCACTGTGATGTACCCTGTATCAGTGAGCACATGTACAAGAATCTAATCTGGCATTACCGTAGATGAAGTTTCTATCAGAATCCCCCCAACTGAATTGCTGGACTCAGAACCCCAATCATGAGTGCATGTGTCAGAGTCGGGCCTCTTCTGTGGCTTAGATGGAGCAGCGGACAGCATATCCAGGTGCATATGGAGGATACAACAGTACATTGGAGTCTGCAGAGGACACCTGGTACCATAACAGGACAGAGGACAGAACAAATTGATCAACTATCACAGCCAAGTGTTGGCAGTAAATTTCCTTTGCAAACAGAGACTCTAACAAGGACTATGTCAATCAGTGGATTCTGGAAAGACTTCATCATGCCTGGAGTGGCGAGATCAGCAGTAGTTTAGAACTGTTGAACTATTGAAATATCATGAGTAAAACCCTCCAGAGCATTCCTCATATCATGGACCCTGGAGTGGTATCGGGTGGCTGTCCTCCATCTAGGGGTGCAGAGGTGTTAGGGAGGCTGTGTGCAGCTTCTCTCCCTGTCTGCTCCCCTTTCCCCTAGATATGGGAAGGAAAAAAAAGTGGAAATTGTTATCTCACCCACCTTCCTGTAGCCTTTGACCCTAATTACCCTAATCAACTATGTAGAAATCTTTAAAAATAAAATTTCTTTTTCAAAAAGTAAGGTGCAGCAACCTTTGAAACTTCAAATAGTAAGGAAACAGAATTAGGAGAAACCAGTACTGCAGAGTTTAGAAAAGGTCTTTTTAAATTTTTTTTTCCATTTTTAATTATATTTTTGACAATCTTACATAGTTGATTAGGGCATAAAAGTTAAAGGGCTACTGAAAAGTGGGTAAGACTATAATTTCCACACATTTTTTCCCTGTATCTGGAGTAAAGGGGGAAGTAAAGAGAGAAGGCCCACCCAGTCTCCCACCCATCCAGGTCCCCAATGTGGGGCATGCTCCAAGGGTCTAGCTCAAATGGTTTTCATAGTTCAACAGTTATGAACTGCTGCCAATCTCACCATTCCAAGCATGAAAAAATCACTTCAGAATCCACTGGTTGACATAGTCCATTTTAGAGTCTCGGTTTGCTGGGGTAGTTGATTGATTTGTTCTGTCCTCTGTCTTTTCATGGTTAGAGATCTGAGTCTGGCAGTTCGATTGAGGGGATCCCTAAAGAAATTTTGTCGGAGGTAAACCCAGACCAGGTTCTTTTCAAATTGGGAAACATCAGCATTGACTGGGTCTC